CCCTGAGCACCCCATGTTCCCAGGGAGCCAGTGGAGACAGCTCTGGCAGCTCCCAAACACCACCTGGAGAGCGTGGGCAATCCTCAGCTCTGCAAGGCCAGAGCATCTCCCAGCCATACTCATCTGCAAGTGCTCCTGCCTCAAAAAATTGGGTTGTGAGAGGGCCTGAGAGTTGCATCTTCATACCCTCACGTTGAGCCACCAGTTTCACTGCTAAGTGTCACCGGTGGGCCCCAAGCACCAACAAAAGCAAGCTGATCATGGGCTGGAGCACCTGCTTTGACAAGGGGCCCTGTTCTCTGGCACTACGCGGTCCCCAGCACTCAGGGACAGCCCCTGAGCACTGACCATTCAACAAAGAACCCCTCTGGAGCACTGCTACGTGTGCTCAGAAACAAACAAGGACCTTATCATAGATTTCTCTCAGGATACTGAAGACCCTTCTATTTTTTTTTTTTACTTTTTTACATTTTTTTTCATTTTTTTTCCTTTTATTTTTTTTTATTAGTGAAACACCATGAGGTACAGTTGTAGATTTACAGATTTTGTGCTTGGGATTCGATTATACAATGATCAAATACCCATCCCTCCACCAGTGCCCATTTTCCACTACCATGGATCCCAGTATCCCTCCCACACCCATCCCCCCATCCCACCCTGCCTCTGTGGCAGGGCATTTCCTTTTGTTCTCTCTCTCCTTTTGGGTGTTGTGGTCTGCAAAAGAGGCATTGAGTGGCAATCATGTTCAGTCCATAGTCTACTTTCAACATCCATCTCCCCTCCTGGGAGGATCCTCCAAACACCCTTTATTTGGTGCTCCCTTCTCTATCTGAGCTGCCCTTTCCCCTAGAATGCCCAGCTGGCCTCTAAGCTATGGAGTAATCCTCCTGGTACTGATCTCGGCTATTCTTGGGTATTAATCTCCTATTTTGTTACTTTATATCCCCCAGATGAATGCAATCTTTCTATGTCTATCCCTCTCTTTCTGACTCATTTCGCTTAGCATGATACTTTCCATGTAGTACCACTTGTATGTAAATTTCATGACTTCATCTTTTCTAACAGCTGCATAGTACTCCATTGTGTATATGTACCAAAGTTTCTTTAACCAGTCATCTGTTCTTGGGCACTCAGGGTTTTATCCTTTCCCATTCTGTAGACTGCCTTTGTATTTTGGTCACTGTTTCTTTTGAGGTGCAGAAGCTTCTTAGTTTAAGAAAGTCCCATTTATCTATCTCTGTTTTCACTTGCTCGGCCAGTGGCGTGACATCTTTGAAGATACCATTAGCTTCAATGTCATGGAGGGCTTTGCCAACTTTGGCTTCAATGTACCTTACGGTTTGTGGTCTGATGTTGAGGTCTTTAATCCACTTTGATCTTACTTTTGTGCATCGAGTTAGGCAGAGATCTGAGCCCATTTTTTTGCATGTAGCCATCCAGTTTTGCCAGCACAATTTGTTAAAGAGGCTTTCCTTACTCCACTTCACATTTCTTGTACCTTTATCAAAGATTAGTTGATCATATGATTGAGGGGAGATGTCAGTATATTCAACCCTGTTCCATTGGTCTGCAGCTCTGCCTTTGTTCCAGTACCATGCTGTTTTAATTACTACTGCTTTGTAGTAGAGCTTGAAGTTAGGGAAGTTGATTCCTCCCATTTTCTTTTTCCCAAGAATTGCTTTAGCTATTCATGGGGGCTTATTGTTCCATATAAATTTCAGGAGTGTTTCCTCCATTTCTTTGAAGAATGTCATGGGTATCCTTATAGGGATTGCATTAAATTTGTACAATGCTTTGGGAAGTATTGTCATTTTGACAATGTTAAGTCTCCCGACCCATTAGCAGGGGATATCTTTCCATTTCCGCATGTCCTCTTTTATTTCCTGAAGTAGTGTTTTGTAGTTTTCTTTGTACAGGTCCTTTACTTCCTTAGTTAAGCTTATTCCTAGGTACTTGATTTTCTGGGGCACAACTGTGAACGGGATTGTTTTTTTCATGTCACTTTCTTCTCTCTGTTTGTGTATAGGAAGGCCATGGACTTTTGGGTATTGATTTTGTAGCCTGCAACTTTACTATACAAGTCTATTGTTTCTAGGAGTTTCTTGGTGGAGGTTATAGTATTCTCTAAGTATAGTATCTTATCATCTGCGAATAGTGAGAGCTTGATTTCTTCCTTTCCTACCTGAATGCCCTTAATATCTTTTTCTTGCCTAATCGCTATTGCAAGTACTTCCAGTACTATATTGAACAGCAGTGGAGAGAGTGGGCATCCTTGTCTCATCCCTGATCTTAGAGGAAAGGCTCTCAGTCTTTCCCCATTGAGGATGATGCTTGCTGTAGGCTTGTGGTAGATGGCTTTAACTATGTTGAAGAAAGTCCCCTCTATACCCATTTTGGTTAGGTTTTCATCATAAAGGGGTGCTGGATCTTGACAAATGCTTTCTCTGCATCTATTGATATGATCATATGGTTTTTATCTTTTCTTTAGGCCCTCCTATTTTCACTTTTGAAATAATTTAAATTTTTGTTCTTATCTGGCTTTCCATTCCATAGCCGACTTGCCAGAGAGCAATGCACCACAAACACAAGGGACATGCACAGTGGTGGGCAGGGTGGGGCTTCTGGGGCTGTGCCTAGGCGCACCTGTCTCAGAGCTGTGGTGCAAGAGACCTGCAAACCCTGGACACAGGGCTCAGAGCAAACATTATCTAACTCGCGGATGGGAGAGTTGCAAGAAGCAAGCACTCACAGCAAGATGAAACTCTTCTGAGCCAGACAGAAGCCCCATCTGTTTATTAATCTGTTCTAAAACTCCCAGTACTTACATCAAGTGTCTTAATGTAAAATTTACCTTTCAGCCTGTTCTGGAAACCAAAGCATTGGTCATTCTCTACGATTTATTACTCCCTAAATATCCTTCGTCCTTTGCAAGCACTCATTATTCCTAATTATAATTTGACATCGACTGGCACTAAGTCTCCTCCTATTTACTCTCCGACCTTTTAGTCGAAACTTGGTCATCCTACATGGTCATCTTTCCTTATTCAGCTTGAAGATAATTTTCCTTGACAAAGACCTAAAATTGAATAACTCTGATTTCAGTTCTGAATGGCAACTCTTCTCCATATTAATAGCCTTTTCTTATTTCTTGCTAAAACAAAAATTTCCCTCTCCTCAAAATTCCTATTTTTACTGTCTCTGGTATATTTCAGAATTTTCTATCTACCTAGGCTTAAGACTCTCCTCACAAACTGACTCCATTAAATATTGTTTGGATTTGATATCATGGACCTCTCACAAATACCTGTCATATTTTGGAGCTAAGTTTATTTGAGCCACATAGTTTTTCTCAGCTGTCTCTAAGATGGTATTTTACGTGGTGGTGGTACTTCAGGAATCAAACCCAGAACCTGTCACATGGCAGGCATCTAGCACAAGAGTGATAAATTTGACCAAATTTCATTTTTGTTGGTTAAGTTTTATATTGTAGCTTCAATTCACTGTCATAATTTTACTTATTCGAATCCAATGCTCATCTCCTCTGATTTAAATTTTTTTAACTCTTTGTTGAATTATGGTAAATTTTTCAAAAGCTAGGTATCCTCCATGAAACTCATAGCAAATATTTGATTATGCTTAAGATAATTTTCTTCTTTTTTCTTTTTGAGTTATATCTGGTGATGCAATGGGGTTACTCCTGGTGATGGAATGGGATTACTCCTGGTGATGCAATGGGGTTACTCCAGGAATTACTCCTGGTGGTGCTTGGGGGACTATATGGGATGCTGGGAATTGAACCCTGTTCGTCCACGTGCAAGGCAAACGCCCTACCCGCTGTGCTACTGCTCCAGCCCCCATGCCTAAGATAACTTTAATTCTCTGATACTACAAAAGAACTCCTAAGTGTCACAGTTATTTCCTTCTGATTCTTTTCTACCAGATGAACCAATTTTTTAGAGAGAATTAACTAATAATTTACCTAACTTCTAAAAGCATTAGTTGTCATAATATATTATCATAATATATTCTCTCGCTGTTCTTCCTTTCCTAAGTACTTAAGTACTTGAGCAGGTTTTACTAGAAAAAAAATTAGTAATAGAAATATTTCCCCTTTAAAATTTTTCAAATAGCCCTTTTTGTGTTGCAAATTAATGTGGATTACATCCAGCATTGTTAAATAAAATTGAAGAGAAAGGCAACAAAATAGAACAAAGAAATAGACTACGTTGCATATAGTAAGAACGCATATTGTTTGTAAAACTCATATATGTGTATTTGCATTGTGTGCTCTTGCTTGCCAAAATGTATTTTATGGTGTTGGACATGTATACTTGAAAACATTTTAACTTTGGAAACTACCATCTTAAATGAGAATACTTTTTTGTATTGCTATAATAAAAGGCATAGAACATAATTTTAGATAAAGTTATATATAAAGTATTAAGTTATATAATATAAACATGTATTATGAAATCCATGTGCATATATAAATAAAAATTCAGCACAAACAGAAATGTAACTATTTTTTTACTATCCATCGGTTGATGAAAGGTAATTTCAGAATCTAGCAGCTCTGTTTAAGTTAAAAAATAATCCATTTTAGGTGCTTTGTTTTTTGGTGGTGGGTGCACACCTCGCTGTCCTCAGTGCTTGCTCCTGACAGGGATCACACAGTTCAGTGCATAGGAGACCTGATGTGATGCTGAAAATGAATTTCAGTTGGCCACATGCAAGGCAGGTACCTTACCCACTAATCTCTTCAGCCCGAGATACCTTTTAAAACAATTTAGTCATATTTATCTTATTTAATGTTAGTCTTATAGTGAAAATACATATTTATTTATTATAGTAAAAATATATCCTAGATATCAGAACTCAGCACTAGAAAATTCAGTAATTTGTTGAATGCTGTATCACTAAACCTTCATAGTTTTCAAGCAGTATGTAAAAAATATTTTACATTTTCCTATATATATATATTTTTAATTTCTTCCATAAAGGGTGAGTGGTTGTCACATGGTAAAGGACTAGAACATTCCTTTCAACCACGTTATGACACTAAGAGTACTCAGAGGACTGACTTCCAGAAACCATCATGCCCGCTGGTCTTGCCAATCAAATACAGCAAATTGCAAAAGCCTTCTTGTGGAATCGGTAAGATTAGCAAGCAACAAGACCTCCTTCCATCAACTCAAATTCCTCTACAAACAAGATGTAGTCGCTGCACTGTACAGTACCACACATTTTCAATACTGATATGTGACCTTCCACCTACTTGGGGAAGCTTCGTATATGACTCAAACCATTTGCAAACAATTATAATCTGATTTATTGGGAGAAATTCACATGACAAGAATATAAGTATACAATTCAGTTAGCTATAAAAGGAATGTGTGGGAGGGATAAACAACCACTAAGCTGAGGTTCTGCAGACTAGTATGAAGAGCTTTTTCGTCTGGGCTCTAGAATTTCTCTTGGAACGTCAGCTCTAGGGATGGGTATGCTACCAAAATCTGAAAATGGCTTCCTTCAGAAACCAAATAGACATGGGTTTAATATATGTATGTATTTATAATTCACAAAACCAATGCCTACAATATCTGCAAGTCTGTATGCTATATGTGTAATCTATCTTCAAAATATATATCTTCAAAAGTATACTATTCAGTACCAGAAAGAAGATTTATCCTGAATAGTAAGGAGATGATAAGGGTCCTTGGGACATTCCTGGGGGAAGTAGCCTCTCTAGAGCTGGGTGTTGTGTTGGAATGACGTCTGCATGAATTTTAGTATAGAAAATGGAGCCTCAATGGGAATGTGTGGGGTGAGAAGTAAATTATTAGTCACCTATTAATTTGGAAGATTAGGCCAGCTTGGCACAGCTTGGATTTAATTTATCTTTGCCTTGGATGTCTATCAATATTCTTGCTGACTATTTTAAGTTGTAAGTCACTCCATTTAAACTATTCTTATATCTTGAGCAACCAGGGTCATTTTAATATCACTGTACAGAACAGGCGCCCTCTGAGAAACTTATTTCTTGGCCGAAGTTGAAAAGGTGTCTACCACAGGGGGTAATCCTTAGTAACTTTGTTCTTTCTCCTTTCCTGGTACACAGTTTTTCTCCAAATACATTTAATAAACACGATAAAAATTGTACAGATCATTGACAACACCAGCATCCAAGTCAGAATCAATAGCTCATTGCTCAGAATTTTAACTATTAAAATAGAAGGCAACACCATATGACTATATAACTCAAATTATTTTCTGAGAAGCACTAAATATTTGATGTTTAAAGGATTCTGTTCTTCCCACAAAATGTTAATGGCTAAATAAGTTTTGCAAAGACTGAAGTTACAAAGTTAAAAAGATTTCTACTATACAATTCTTAAAACTCTTGTTTTAAGCATAGACATACTGAATGTCTAAGAGAAATAAAGGATATTTCTGACAATGACCACCTCCCCCATTTTCAAGAAATCATCTCATGTGACTAGTATCACACAGAATAATTTCAGAAGTACCTTTAAGTAGATTATTAAAACAATTTCAGATATAACATGTTTTACCTAATAATGTTATAATACATTGTTTGTCACATCTCAGCAAGTTGTACCTGTTAGTTCACATCCTAATTCTTAGTTTATCTCATAGTTTCATAAGAATAAAATTTAGTAATTCATAAAAATTGCAGGATCAATTCAAAACAAATATGTATACTGAGTACCCAATCCTGTACTCACTTGATAGAAAAGCTCATAAGCGAAAATTCAAACAATTTTTCTGGACACAACAGTAAACCTCAAAGGATTACTTTGGGAGATCAACAGTGACTCACGTAATTTTAGCTTTCTGGCCTGTGTAATCTTGCTAGTCTAGTTTCTAAGGAAACAGAGGTAAGATTAAAGGTCGGAACATTAGGAAATGATACTATTCAGCATGATTTCTACCACAAGGCACTGGCTCCTGGGGGAGGGGTGGTAGCTGTTAGATAACCTACAATAAATAAATAGATAAATAAATAAATAAATAAATAAATAAATAAATCTCATTTAGCAAAGAGAAAAGGTTTCCACTTCTGATTGATCACGGAAGACTGGGCACAAACATCTAAATCCCCTGCCTTCCGTGACCCTGTTAAATGACAGCACAGCAAACAAGCCATAAAAGCAAAGAGAATGGAAAGAAGTTTCTGTAGTGAAGGAATGGCAACCTGTAAATGGGTTAAAGAGACCAAAGAAGAATTGGACCAGAATATATATATCAATATAGAATATGAATGTGAAGAATTAATCTTCCTGGTAAAATACCCAAGCAATTGTATATTTGATGTGGGCAAAAATGCAGGGGTGAGGACAGAAGGGAGAAAGAGAGAGTGAGTGAGTTTCCATGTCTCTGAAAATCTGCTTCATTCTTGAGTTGTAACCAGCACATAAGAAAGATAAGCAATGCAGAATTAAAGAGCAGGATCTAATTAATGTTTTTATAATTCTCAAGACTCCAAGTACTGTGTCTTCACTAGATTTCAATAACCAACCAAGCTACTCTAGTTATTCAAGCTGTATTCATGTCCTAGCCTTAATTTATGAATTGGCAAGCAATATTAAAGTCATAACAATTTTTTAAGTTCGGAGGGAATAAAGTCAAGGGAATCTTACAGAACATAAAACAACAATGACTAACCTTGCCCCCACACCCTAAAATATAGTAAAATCAAAATGGATACATAACTTTTCTAGAGCTCCAGAAAAATTTTAAAAAGACGTAATTTTCAACACATTTGTTTAACACAAACCAGTTGCCAATGAGATACTTTATGGAACTTTGCAAATATTTAGTCACTCAAATCTCACATCAACCACATGGAATATACTAACATACTAATACTATCAATATTCTCATATTTTAAATAAGAAAATAAATAGAATTTAAAGAAGTTGCCCAAATCACATCTCTCAAATAATTACTATTTGAACTTAAGAGTTTGACCCCAGCACTTGTGCTCTCAGTACCTATTATCCGTAGAATAATGTAGTTTAAAAGGATGGGGGGGATGGGAGGTGGGAGGGATGCTGGAACCCATGGTGATGGAGGATAGGCGCTGGTGGAGGGATGGGCACTTGATCATTGTATAACTGAAACCCAAGCACAAAAATTTGTAAGTCCGTAACTGTACCTCATGGTGTTTCATTAATAAAAAAAAGAAGAAGAAGAAAGTTTCCTGATAGAAAAGAGACATCAGGAGGGTCTAGTGAGTTCTTCTGTCTGAAGGGAAGTAAAGGTCTGAAGGTCATTATGAAATTGCAATTCTAGAGAATATTGTTCTAGGTTTTCATAAAGGGAAAGAATTAGCCAGCATATAAGAATACTAAACAATACAGAATACAAGAGCAGGATATAATTAATGTCCTTACAATTCTCACAACAAATAGTTTTTAACCTAAACACTAGAGTTTATTTGAAATGAATACTTCAACATTATTGTTCAATGTGGCACTGATCAGTGGACCCTTTGAGAAAAAAATGTGTAGTTGTTGCCTACCATTTGGCTTTTAATTGAACAAAGTTCATCAAATTACAGAGGGCCAAAGTGATAGTACAGTGGGTAGGGTACGAGTTTTGCATGTGGCTGCCCCAGATTCAATCCCTGGTACTACATATGTTCCCCTGAGCAGTCAGGGGATCCCTAAGCACAGAGCCAGGAGTAAACCCTGAGTACACTTGGGTGTATCCCCAAAATAGAAAAATAAAATTATGGTTTAAATGCCACGTGGTTAATTTTCAACTTTTCATATAAATAGACCCAACACGGAACATTTTTTATATGGATACAAATAGATTCATTACCAGTCTTAACAAGAAGAGTAAATACACTTTCTGTCAGTGAGTTGAGAGATGTAAGAGAATACTGACATCATCGTTGAACAGATAAGCCGTAGATAAACAAAACGGTGATGTCAAAAGAACTAATATAAAAGCCAATTTCTCTCTCCATTCATGTCCTCACTGTTTAACTAACAAACTGAAATACCGGGCATCTTTTTTAATTACCTCTTCTTGGAAAGATATTCTACATTTCAAATTTAATATGCCTGAAATAGAACATTTCATCATCCTTCCCACCAATTACACCTATTTTCCCTAGCATTCTTTCCCATCTCGAAAGTCACTTCTCTTGGTCCAGGTACTCAAGTTTCCATCATCTAGAAGTTCCTCCCTACATCTAGAGATAAACCATCAGCAAGCCTTGATGAATCTCTCTTTAAAACATAGTTCAAATTTTCTCAGTGCAGCAGCAATTGTCCTGCGTCCTTTCTTTCTCTTCCCTGATATGTTTTCCATTTCACCATCAGAAGGATCTTTTAAGAACACGAATTATATCCTCCTCATCCTTTTCCTGTAGATCTCTAAGTTACTGTTCATTGTTTGTAGGATAAATTCCTACATATTCCTCACCATGGCCTACATGACTCTGTCTACTGAACTGACCTACTTTGTCTCCTATTGTTCATATTATAAAGAGGGGATTTAGAAAAAAAAACATGTAACTCAGACCAAGGAGACAGAATGTTCTCTGAAAGTCTTTATTCCAAATGAATTTATAACTGTAGGATTATTAATGAATTCTTTTACCTTAATTAATATTCTCATCAATTGAAATCAGTATAAAATAAGAGTTGTTTCTATAGAACAGTGGAATGTCATAGAAAAACTTTCTATAAGGTCAGTTTCTAACTTTTAAAATGCTATTTATGTGTGGAAAAGATTTTGGAAAAGGAGCAAATTTTTAAATCTTAAAGGATTTTTTTATACCTTTGGTTTTAAACGTGTGCTTTCACCAAGTATTAATAAACAGAGAGATGTGATTTGTGTAAGAAACACAAAGTGAAATTTCAGTCTGTGGACACTCAGAAAATTCCTTGACATTCATTCAAAGCTTTGGTGAATCAACTGGTTAAAATATCCAAGTGTGGCAGTCATAACGCCCTATGATTCTTTACTCTAACTTATTTGGTTCACTGACCAGTTAGGTCCCCATCATTCCTCAGAAGGGGTTGTTGCTTCTGTGCTAGTTCACAGAGCTGTGGTGAAGATGAGACCAGAACAGGTTTTGTTCAAGGATGATAAAGTAGGATGCAGCTATTCTGTAA